CCCCCCCCCCCCCCCCCGCCCGGCCGAAAAAAAGGGGCCAAAAAAGATTCTCCCCCCCTTTCAAAACCTGCCTCGAGACACCCATTTGTAGATGGCTGCCAGCTGAAGAAGTTCTTGTCGGATGGTTTGGGCGTCAACGCCTGCCTCAAACAGCACGGCAACCCGCTGCAACCCGGCAAGCGGTGCGGTTTCCCGGTGCGCGAGAGGCCTTGCTGCTTAGAAGTGAGGATGAAGGCACCGGTTTTGCGCAGGCTGTCATGAAGCTGTCGCTGGTGTGCATGGTTGCAGTAACGGTCCTCTGTTCGGATCTTATGCTGACAGGGCCACAGAAACAGGGCCCCAGGGCCAGTGCGTGTGACTTTTTTGTTGTTGAGGTCTCGTCCGATCTGGAGGCGAGGAAGATCTGGACCCGAGAGCAGGGGGCTTTTTGTTTGGGGGACGACAAGTGGGAAGCCGGCTCGGCCAGCACGGACACCAAACGCCAAGGACACAGAGGAGTATGAAAGGCTCCGATTCCAGGAGGACTCACCGCTGGTGCCCTCTCTCAGTGCATGTGGGCCCGATGTGCACAGCAGGCGAGTCTGAGTCAGGTGCTTTATCTGGCCACGGTGGAGATGCTTATTTGCGGGTCCTGCGCTGCAACTGCAGCTGCCATGTACTCACGCCAGGGGCACCCTGGAGGCATATGACGGCAGAAAAAGCGGGCACTGCGTTTTGATCTGGTCTCTGTCTCTGCAATGATCCGAGGCATCAACTGAGGCACCCTGCAGAGCACGAACAGTCGGCTCTTTTCACAAAGGTGCCGGGAGAGGGAGGGCCTTAAAGGCCTTTGTTTTGGGTCTCTCGCCTTTGGAGGTCGAGCTTTGCAAAGATCCCGGCTTCGAGGACTCGAGTTTTTCAGAGGGGGCCCAGCCCGGAGTCTTTCCCTGGGCTTGGGTTTGGGCGGTTTGGGGAGGACTGCCAGCTCTACGGCGCGGATACCCGAAGAGGGGGGGGGGTCACTCTCCCCGCAACGAAAAGCCCGTGAAGTCTTTGCGAGGCCTTGGCTTTCGTCCGAGTTTCTGAGCTCAGAAAAGCCCTGGGCCCGTGCTGCCTTGCACGGCGCTTACGCTCCTGAGGCTCCGATGGTTTGGAGTGTCTGGTGGTGGAGGAGAGCGCGAGCGGTTTTTGGTCGATTTGTTTGCCATGAGAGAAACAGCTTTTTCTCCGAGGACATTCGCAGGGACTCCTTGCTGGATCGCTGGAATCATCGCAGCCATGACCTGTCCCCAGAGGCGGACAAGTGATTCAATGATACTGCCCAAAATGCCCCTGCTGCGACTTTCGCTGCGTCCCTCGCAGGAACTTGTCGAGCAGGCCACCTCTTCGGCGCCCTCCTTCCTTCCTTCCTTCCTTCCTTCCTTCCTTCCTTCCTTCCTTCCTTCCTTCCTTCCTTCCGGGTTGTCAGGGCAGGGCTGCGACTCGCCGCGAGGCCTTGGGGGAAGAAGTCGCTGCGGTCGCAGGCGCTGCAACGCAACGCCAAGCCGCGAGCACTCGCTGTGCCTCGCTGTGCTGTACCTCGCGCCAGGCGAGGGGTTTTCGGCGCCGTCGCCGAGGCCCTGCAGAGGTGTTAGCCGGCGAAGGATGGCGAAGCGTGTCTGTTCTTTGCTCTCATGGCAGGCCGGGTGCCGGGCGGCCTCTCCCCAAGGCCCGCCTTTTTACCTGCTGAGAGAGCGCTCCTCCCTGCTCTCGCTGCTTTTGGAGGTGGCGCTGGGCTCCGCGATCGTGGCTGTGAACGACGTGTCCGGGAGTCGGAAGATCGGATGCGTTCCGAAGGATCCCGTTATGTATAAACCGCTCCCGAACGCAGCTACGCCGACGTGGGCTTGATGCAGCAGCAGCTCTTCAAACCACAGGCCGAAGCCCCGGAGCCCCTCCGGAGCCTGGGAGCTCCGCCCTCACATGCCGTAGGTAACCCTCTGGGTGCGACGAGAAGATGACGGCCTCCACCCAAGCGAGCTGGATGCAGGCTGCGACTCTTGCCATTTGAGGTTCTTGTCTACGCTTGCTACACGTTTGGTTGCCGCGAGGTGTCTTCGGTGCGGAGGTCCCTCCTGTGGCGACAGGTGTCCACACAGTGTGCCAAGACGTGGCCGTGCTGTCAGCTGCTGTGAGGTCCCGTTTCCACTCTGGGAGCCGTGGAGGAAGGCCGGGAGAGACACCAGGTGGTGGACTCTCAGCTGCAGCTGCTCTCTCCTCTTCTCCTCCTCCTGGCAGGGGCTCCGGCTGGCGGCCTGCGGCCTGCGGCTCCACGAGTGGCACGCGCCCCGTTTCACATCCCAACACCATCCTCCCTTTTCTTCCTCTCGGATTTTTTTCTCTTCTTGCGGAGGCTTGCCTCGCCATGGAGGCGCCTCGGGGAGGGGGGCTGGAGGGGCTGGGCCGAGGCTGGGGCGACCTGTCTCCGGCGCCCTTGCCCCTTGCGCTTCCGGAGGACGAAGAAGCACAGATCCTGACGCGCTGGACCGCCGTGGCCTCAAGGATCAGCGTCCCAGTTGTCGCGGCTGAGCCTTTCCGTCAGGTCTGTGGCATCATGTTCGGATGGCCCGCGCCTGTGCTGAAACGCACACAGGCTCAGCCTAGCTGCCTAGCTCGACTGTGAGCCCGACCGCCGATGGCTCTGAGGGTGACGCTGCTCCCGGTGCTTCTTATGCAGCCTCACGAAGAAAGGTGTGGTGCCGAGAGCTTTGACCGGCATTTGTAGCCTTTCCTGCTTTGCTGTTGCACTTCCGCCACCACCTGCAGCCGTTTGCACATGTTTCGGTTGAGATGTGGGGAGATTCTGTGACACACAGTTTCGAAAGCAGCTGCGGGGCAGCATGCCCGGTGGGCAAAGGTCCCCGGCCAAGACAGGAAGCCCCGGCAGCGCACAGCAAGCTTGGATCACAATCTCGCGAATACAGGGCGGGTGGGCAAGGGGACAGGCCAGATATATGATACATACGGGGCCGTTGCCTTCACCGTGGTTTTGGTGCCGCACACGGTGAAGGCAAGCGGCCGCTGCCTTGACCGTGGTTGTGGTTCCAATAAACAGTCAGTGGGTGAAGGCAATTGGCCGTTGCCTTTGCAAGCGGCCGTTGCCTTCACCAAGGTGTTCGTGCCAAAAGCGCTCAACGCAGGCAAGCGGCCGTTGTCTTCGCAACAACACAGGGTGAAGGCAAACAACAGCTGGCAATCACAATGGTTTTATTGTCAACAACTCACGGGGAAGGCAAGCGGCAAGCGTCTGTTGCTTTTGCCACAGTGTTACTGTTGCTGCCAGGAAAACACTGTGCATTCGGCCGTCGCTTCACCATGGCACCAACCAAAACACACGGTGAAGACAAGCGGCCGTTGTTCTTGGCATGTCTTAACGCCAAGAAAACACACAGTGAAGGCGATGTCATTCAACCACATGTTCTGACTCGCCTCCTTGTGGTCACATTCTCGAACCCTCTCCTCAAATGGACGCTGGTGATAGCTCACAATTCCTAACTCCACCCCCTGGATAATTTTCTCATGTTTCCGTTATTTATCGCATTGAGGCCACGGCGTTGATCTTGAGCCGGCCCTGCTTTTCGGAAAACGCGGTTGATCTTGCATGTCTTAAACGGTCCACTTGCAGTGGCGACTGCTCACGTTCATTACCCGCCACCTCATCATCAGACGATGGTGCTTTATCATCATGGGTGTGGATCTTAAGCCCGTTTCAAGGCTTGCGAATGACCTTTTGAGTCCTTCCCGAGTCCTCCGCTGGTTTGAGCATCTAACGTAGGGGAAAAAAGAGCGCTCGGCACCCCGGACTTTTGGCCCGAAACTGCGGGCTCCGTCCGGATCGCCGCATCGTGGAGCTTCATAGTTTTTGGGGTCCCTGGAACTTGAGAAGAAGCCATCCGTTTCCACCCTCCTTTACTGGGGAAGCTCGAGCGCGAGGGCCGAATAATGTTGGCCGGGCACGACGCTGACGACATTTCGAGCGATGCTGAAGGGATGTTCCAAGCGCTTATTTGATCGGTCATATTCGGTCGATGTAGCGGAGACTTGCAACTCCCATTGTGGCAGAGGAAAGGCTGTTGATCGAGACGAGGACTAGGAGCCGGATGCGCCCGTTTGCCCACGTTTAGGACGCGCTAGGGGTGTTACAGTGCTAAGCTCGAGCTTAGCTCGGGCGTGGGGAGAGAGCCTTTTGGGTTTAGGCCGCAGAAGAGACCCGTTTGTGAGGCCTCGGCAGCAGCAGGAGTCTCAAGAGCCTCAAGGGCAGAGTTCTCGACCTTTCCTCTCCTTGGTGGTGCCACGAGCTCGAGGCTCTTTCGGCAGTTCTTGCTGAAGTCTGGGGCTTAGCGAAGCGCAGTCGCACATCGCAGTCGCACATCGCAGTCGCAGTGGGCCTCAAGAGCTGAGGCCATGCTTGTTCTTGTTGCCCCTTTGGATGCTCCTCTGGCCGCTCGGCTCGACATGGGGAAGCAGACCTCTTTCTTCGTCTTTCGTTGCTTTCGCCGAGGATTCTGGATTGCCTTCAGCTGCTCTTGATGCATCGACCCCATGGCCCCCGCTTTTTGCTCTCTTTCCAAGCTTGCTCGGGTGGTGGAAAAAAAGGATCCAGATCCTCCACCCCTTCTACTACTTCGCGCCGGGGGGCCCAAAGGACGCGCCGACTCCCAGCGCCTCCGCCGCCGCCGCGCGGCTGGGCCCAGGTTTTGCCACACGGTGATTCCAGGCGTCCTGGTTTGGTACCTCTTCGCCATGCAGGCCCGACGACCCCTTCTTCTGAAGCGGTCTCGACCCTTCTATGACATGCAGGCCACGGAGGAGCGCATCGTGCTTGATCAGCGGCGATCGCGCCGTGCAGAGGCCGCAGCGAAGGCGGAAGCATCCGGCACCGCGGGGTGACCCTTTGGGGAGGAGAAAGACGCGAGCTGCGATGTTGCCATCATGGCTCCTCTGAGCGTGGTGGAAGACGCAGCTCCGGTGCTCCTCAAGGCCCGCCCCCCGGCGCTTTTCAGGGCCCCCGGCCCTTTTGCACGCTGCAGGAGCTCATCACCTTGAACCCCGTGGCCATGCTTGGGCTGCAAAGCTGCATGCAAAGCTGCATGTAACCCCGTTTCAGCCGTGCCCACGGCGTGACCTGCGCCGAGGCTCGGCACCTGCGCTTCCATCCCGATCCTCCTCTGCTCGCTCTTTACCGTGTTCCAGACCAGGCGCCGGGCGGACGTGAGGGCGTTTCTTTGCAACTGTGCAATGCCCTACTACCCCGAAGAGACTTCGTGATCACAGTGGGTATGCTTACGCCTTCAGCTAAAGCATCCCATCCTTCTCATCAGTATTCCTCCTATGATGTATTATATCACATCGACGCACCTAGCACCTAGCACGCAACTAAGTAAGCATCTGCTCTTCCTTAGCCTTAGCACATGGTTTGGGCTCGGGGCTCGGGCTTCTGGGAAGTCCAGCAAATTGGCAAAGAGAGATGCGATTGTGACATGGTGGCTCAGAACAACTTCTGATATGTGGTAACGTGGTACACATGGCAAATGCAATGTGTTCATTCCAGGCTTCGAGGGACCAGACTGTAAAGTGTTGGGCTTTCTTTGTGGGGTAGATTCATGATTCCCCTGCGCAGGCGGGCGAGACATGCTCAGGCTCGGTGCCAGAGGAGTCCAGAGAGACGACTGTGGAGTCGCGCGCAGGGCTTCGTGAATCTCATCTACGGCCTGCTCACCGTCTTTCAGCTGGCCCGGAGCCTCCAAAAGCGGCGGAGCGGCGGAGCGGTGCAGTCAAAAAAGGCCTCCCTGTACCTCCTCTACCACCTCCGCTTCGCTCAGCTCCCGGAGGCTGCTGCCCCTCCCCCGCTGCCCCCGCTGACTGAGAGCCCTCCTCTCCCGCCTCTCCTTGCGAGATGTATCTGGCGGCCTTCTACTTCCTGATCTCCATCCCCTGCTTCGCCGTCTGGTGCCCCCAAAAACGGCCCCCTCGCCTGCCTCTCGCCTGCCTCTCTGCCGCAGCTCTGCCAGGTGCGTTTGCCTGGCCTGCGCCAACCACTTTGCCAAGAAGGCGAGCTGCGGCAAGCTTCGGCAAGCTAGAGCAGCCAGGGCCGCCATGTACGGCTTGTAACTTGTATCTGGGCCCCACGCATTTCTTCTGCAGGACCTGCAGCTGTGCGAGTCCCAAAGGATCGAGCGTGCCAAGGAGGCGTTGAAAGCGAGTCCGGCAAAAGCCTCAGGGGGCCTCCGGCGTCCACCATGTCTGGCTATATCTCTCGAGCAGCACCTCGACTGCGTGACATGCCCTCCTTCAAGGTGTCTTTAATTTTGATTGGGGATCAAAACAAAGCGAGCCTGAAATTCAACTTCGCGCGCGCGCGCCACCTGGGCAGCCTCCCCCTTGGCCACGTGGCCTCTCTGCGAGTCGCCAGAGGCTTTGGAAGTCAGCGGCCGGATGCGGCCTTTTTCTGCGGGCAGAGATGGCATGACACGAGCTGCGGGGTGATGGTCGATCAAGACTTGCAGACGTGTTGCGCTGCAGTCGTCAGCGACGAGTGCAGCCAAAGCCAATGTAAGTTCCAAAATTGGCTTTCCTCGGCATGCGTAGCATACGCAGCCGTGCAAGCTAGACTGTCTGTAAGGAGTAAGGAACGTGCATGGAGAGAATGCAAGCTTCACAGCGCAGCTCAGCACTCAAAGTTGGAGAACATCGTTGAAAGTCGCCCAGGAATCGCAGCACTGAAACCCTCCAATTCGCATAGACGCTGCCCCGACAACGCGTCTAAAGAACTTGCGCCCCCACGCCGCACCGTCGAGCCTGAAGCCGAAGGACGAGATGCGCAGCGTGCGCGCGCGCGCACGGGGGTTTGCGGCGCTCTGCGACGCGGCTCTGCGACGCAGCTCTGCGACGCAGCTCTGCGACGCATCTCTGCGTCGCTCGCTGTGCTGAGGCGGCGGCGGGCGAAGCCTTGGAGAACGGAGCTAAGCACTGCGAGCGGGGGTCCAAGGGGCCACATGCCAGCTTTGGCGCAGTGAGGCAAGCGCTGCTGGTCGACTGCACGGAGGCACAGGGCAAGGGCACAGTTCTGGATTGCCAAGAAAGGCAGCGGTAGGCGAGGCAAGTGCCCGGCGAGAGAGAGAGAGAGAGAGAGTTAGCATTTAATATTCTTCTCATTTTCTTTCGGTTTCCCTCGATGGTGATGCTTTTGGTGGAGCATGCGTTTTCACTCTTACCCTCCGCAACTGTCGGGGGCGCTAACGCGCGCGGGCAAGGGGGGATTTGTCCCTAGCCCTGGCGAAAGAAAAACGAAAGACAGAGAGAGAGACTGTCCCAAAGTATGTGGACTGCGGTTGTCAACAGGGGGAACAAAACGCTTTAAGAATTAATCCCCAGCGACAATCTACTTTCTCACATCCTCTCGAAAGCCTCACAAATGTGGGGGGCCTATTGGCCGGGGGGTTTGACAGACCCCTCATGCCCTGGGGAAGAGAGAGAGACTGATGGCAGAGGGCAACCTTTGCCCACAGCCCTGGCGAAAGAAAGACTGATAGCTTTCTCATGCTTGCATGTGGTTCTCTCACCTATTGTTGTCATTGATTGAAAGACTTGGCATGTGGCGCTGCATCTGTACTTCGGAGAAAATGGCAGCCGATTCCACTTGATAATTATCCTAACTGGCGGGTGCGCTATAATATACATTCTACATCCTCCTTTCTCTCAGGGGAATTGCACGTTTCCCTTTGAGAATACACGATCGTCAGTTTCCCCATATCGTATACTTTAAGGCTTTGGCCCTTTCTGACGATCTGTATTCGATTGTCACTCCCCTGAACCCAACAATACGTTGGGTGGGCTATTCAGCCCGGGGGCCTTGACCGGTCCCCAAGCCCAGGAGAGAGAGAGAGAGAGAGAGAGAGTGTGCATGTTTGACTACGAACACATATGTCTCTCCTCCCAAACCAACATACTACACATGTTAGTCCTGCAGGACCTTTCCTATACGTCGCCGTGCCTGTGTTCTGTTACCTTGCAAGCAAGGGGGAGAGATAACCTACCAGTGAAGGGACCATATCTTTCTTGATTCACTCCCAAGGGGAAAGTCCCCTGGAGCCGGAGACCCCCCAACATCTAGAAGTTTTCTTTGGGGTTAGGTTGTTGCTCCAGGGCGGTTCTCTTTGCGGTTATCGTTGTTGCTGAATACAGGGGGGGACTCTTTCCGCTGAGTAGTATGATGCTGAAGACATTTGGACACCTTCACACCTTAGGGGGCTATACTGCACTTTACTTGATGGTTGTCTTGAAAGGATCTTGATGTCGCCAATCAGCCACTGAAGTTTCACCATTGGCAACCCCTCTCCCGAAAGTTTCCCCTCTCCTACTGTTTCACTAGGTCTTTCTATACGGGTCCGTCCTTTGGATAATGTTTCAGGGGAAAAGGGGAAAATGCGCAGGCCCCTCCGCACTGAAGTGTTGTACGCATGGTTGCCCAGGAAGGTCTATTATCTAGTGCTATGTCTTTGCTTCCAAGGCAGGTGCACTGAAGAGGGGGGCCCAGTATGGTATGCGCCCATGAGATTTCCTAGCAGCCCAGGAGGATTCCACAAGGGAATTTTGGAGAAGTGCATTATACCTGTAGGAGGCGTACAACACATCTTTTTGTGAACTGTGTGGGTCTGGCTTCCGTACGGCCAGCAGACATCGTCACGCAGGACCTTTGCCTCACTTGTTGGGGTGATTGGTGCGGGGCACGAGGATCGTCCTCACTTCTTCGTGGTTGGCGAAAACTACACCCTGCCGCTTGTCCAGAACTGTGGGAATGTCCGCGGATGGGCACGCCAAATGCCTATCTGCCCGCATTGCCGCCAGCTCCACTTCGCTAAGCTGTGAGCGGGAGGCCCCGCAGAAGCGGGTGGCTCCGCCGCGGTGAATGCTGTGGAAGGAATCCCATCCTGAGCACAAGCCCTCGTGATTAAAGGGCGGTGCGAGTAAACGCGCAAAGTTTGTGTAGGAAACCACTGGTCGCTGCAGCCGTTTTAGGCTTCGAGAAACAGGCCACAGCCCGTTGAGCCCAGGGTAAGCCGTGTTTGGACCAAGTGTTGTGATAACAGGGAGGGATCAAGAGTGCATTTTAAAGTGGGCACCCGAAACGTGCATGTAATCGGAATCATCGGCACTAGACTTTTTTCAACACAGGTCGTAGGCTGTTTAATTTACCATATATATATATATGCCGAACGAAAAGAAAGAGGAGTCGTGCAAGCGAGAGCGAGCGGGGGCGAAGAGAGTACGAAGACAAGCGGATGGAAAGGTCGACAGTTGCTCGGGACCACAGAAGTGGGGTGAGGGTTGCGGCACGGTTATTATGTGAAGTCTGCTTAGGGCCAAAAAGGGCATCAGCGACGCTTGCGTGAGAGAGCTATGGGGATGTCAGGCGATCACGCGTGAGTACGAGCTTATCTACACCGCCACCGGCCCAGAAGCATGATTCTCTTTTGATCCCCCATGCTAAAGCCTCGCGGGTGGCCGTATCGCGACATCCCATGTGACGGCACTCTAAGGCATGAGACGTACTATGAGGAGGACAAGCGCGGAAGCAGAAGAAATGAGCGCGGTCACCTGGAAAAGAAGCGAAAGCAGAAAACGTGACTGGCGAGAAAGCATAGCTGGCGACGGCTTTTGCCTGGAGAAGCGAGAGTGCTCGCGAACTGACTGGCGCCACAAACTGCCAGCCGGGCACCGGAGCGCTTCACGGGTCGAGCGGCAGAGCGGCAGGGTCCTGTCAGGCTCCTCCCGACGACCCGAAAATCGAGTCTCAGCACCCGCCTCGACCTGCGGAATCGAGCGGAAAAAGCGCGAGCTTTGCTGTTGCCCGCAATGGAAAACTTATGACGGCTGACAAAAATGAACCATACCAGACCCGACCAGGATTCCTGCAAGCATGGTGGTGACGGCTTTCCGTGTTGGGACGCTGACAGATTATGCAGATTCTGCACCCCCGAAAGACGCGGGGATTGCTTTGCTGCAGGGGCTTAGGTCCAGGTGCGCCAAGGGCCCCGGGGCCGCCATGGCGGCAAGTGCAAGCAATGCCGCACCACTGAGGCGCGAGTCCGCGCGCTTCGTGCTGCTGCTTTGAGGTCCCCGGCGCTGTTGTCTTGTCTTTGCATTTGGGAGGCTGCCTCTCTCGGACAAGGATCTTGACCTCAAGGACTGAAGCTGTGACTGAGGGCTTTGGGGCTCTCGTCTTTTGGAACCGTGCAGGCAGCAAACAAGATCCTAGCCAGCGCGCAGACCCGCGAGAAGTTCTTAAAGATCGTGCAGTGCCTTTTGCCTTTTGCACCCCAGTCCCAGCGTCCCGACTCAGCCGAGACAGGTATGCCTCCAAGCTCTTTTCCTACGCCCTGCTCCGCTCCGCGCCAAGGGACGCGCCGAGCGCTCCGCCTCTCCGGAGAACTTGAAGCTTTGCTCTTCAGGCTCTGCCTACAAAGACCTGGGCCAGGGCCGCGGTCGGGGGAGGAGGTCGAATTGGGGGCATTGGGGCTAGACCCGACCGATGCGACGACCGAGGCAAGCACTTGGAGGCTCTCTCCAAGAGCCTCTCAACAGCTCGGCGATTCTTTAAGTTCTTCAGGCGCCAGCTGTCACCAGCTGCTCTGCCATAGCTCGGCAGCTGCGAGGTTCATGAAGCATTTCGAGGATGTTGCAGAAGCAAGAGAGGAACAGCCTGCAGCTGAGAGCTCATAGCTCGCCTGGGAGCCCTTCCTCGTGGCTCCTTCCATAGGAATCCCACATTTCGGTCCTTGCTCTTCATTGACATCCTTGCGAATCTTGTGGCAGACATCTCCGAGGACCTGCAAAGATGGGCCCATCAACACCCACACTCAGTGGCAAGACATGCCCCACGTCCTTCCGCGCGCGATCTTCCGACAAAAATCACCGAGACCTGACTCCCTGCCGCGGAAACGGCTCAGGGGTCCAAAGCCTTTCCGAATCTGTTTCCACACTGTCTGAAGAGTGATGAGGGCTGCGGTTCGGCGAGCAGTAGCAATGTGTTTGGTTGAGATGTGGCATCTCTGCACAAACCAGAAATTGAGCTAGGCTCATGCCATGGTCCAGCGAGGTCAGAGGCGGTATAGGTGCTTTGCAAACGGTGGGAGGATCGCTTGGGGAATCGACGCAAAAGGCAAAAGCCGCGTAATACGCCTATGCACCTGGAGCTTGGGATCGGAGCGTGGCCACGCCTCAGAAGCATCGGCACAAAGAATCTCTTTGGCTCCGTCCCAAGAGGCCTCCTAGGCCTTTTTCAAGTCGGACCCCAGGCATCCATA